TGCCACTACCGTCCCCGAACACCAGGAGGGCCCCCTTGCTGCCACTAGCGTCCCCGAACACCAGGAGGACCCCCTTGCCGCCACTACCGTCCCCGAACACCAGGAGGGCCCCTTTGCTGCCATTACCGTCCCCGAACACAGGAGGGCCCCCTTGCTGCCACTACCGTCCCCAAACACCAGGAGGGCCCCCTTGCTGCCACTACCGTCCCCGAACACAGGAGGGCCCCCTTGCTGCCACTACCGTCCCCAAACACCAGGAGGGCCCCCTTGCCGCCACTACCGTCCCCGAACACCAGGAGCGGTGGTGTCGGCTGCTGCTGTCTCCGACCGCTGGGAGGCTGTTGCCATTCCGCGCTTGGCCCACTCTCGCTGCTGTGCTGATGCAACATGCCATAAAAGGCTTCAAGGAAAAGAAGAACGAGGAAGGAGAATAGAAGAAAAAGCAGAAGTAAAAAGAAAGCAGAGGGGACAATTCCCAGACTCAGGACCCCACACACGGCCCTGCTGCTGCACCACCATTGTGTTCGAAAGCCTCTGAATGGGAATGCATTCAAGATCCAGCAGGGATCAGGAGGGATCACAGAAGAGGGGAGAGGATTACAGAGGACCACAGAGAATGAGGAAAGAGAAAAGTAAAGTTTGGGGATATCACGGAGCAGAAGGCCAGAAGGAAGGAGATTACAGACTGTGGAGGACGCTGGGAGAGGAATGGAATCACGGGGAGAATGAGTCCATATGCTGAGCAGGTTAACAATCCTTCTACCCCCCCAAGTAGTGCCGAAAATTCACTAATCGGTTCCACCCAGCAGTTACTTCCCCCCAGCTGCTAGGGTTCCCAATGCTGGGAAACCAGATTGGTCAGTATTAAAACTGAAACAGAGATAAAGATTTGAGGAATGTTACTTTATTAAAATATTTTAATAAGGCACCCGTCACCTATTGGCATATTGGGTGTCTGCACCTATTTTCCCCTCTGTCACGACTTAAAATAAGAGTGTTTGAGGTGCATTTAGTTTTGAGGGTTTTTTTTATATAAAGGTCTTACTTTCCAACCAACCAAATCCCATCCATTCTTCTGGGTTAAAATTTAAAATTCCCTGGGAGTAAAACATACTGTCTATTTTCTTGAGCACCTTTCACTGGACTATGTGTGGCAGTTTTACTTTTCGAGCATAACATCTGAGTGCAATGCCTAATTTATTGCTGACCATGGCCACATTATGACCAATTCAGCATTAATGGAGGTGAACAAAACTGCGCTGACCATTTAAAAGAAGCACTACCATTCCCAATGGTACCTGTTCGCTGTAACAAACACAATCTGTCATTTCTCCAGTCAGTTACAAGTCATATTAATATAAATAAATGTAACTGAGTCCAGGTTTGGAATATGACTCACCAGATGCTTATAAGTAGACTTCCAGTACATCATCTGTACCACTCCACAGAACAGGACAGCAAAACAAATCAGCACCTGCAGATACAGGAAATACTAAACTGTGAAAAAAACATGATTCCAACATATACCCATCTGGGATGGAGATAATACTATGCAAAGTCTCCTGTGATAGAGATGGTGAGACAGAAAGAGAATAATTGCAACTCCGAGAATGGAGAAGGATTTTCATTCATATACAGCCTTTCATAAACAACCAAAGTACTCCCAGGCTCAATCCATGTGTCACACAGCCTAACACCAGAGCCTAGTCTTTTCTCTTTATGCAGTGCTTTAATAAATTTCCAAGTTTCATTCTCTATTACCCTTCATTCCTCCAATGTTTTTCCTAAGTGAATGCAACAAAGCCATTATTGTCTGAACTCAGCAATAATAAATTAACTAATGTTCCCTGAGTAGTTGAATTATGCATAATGTGTGACACTGGTACGAGAGAGAGAGAGAGACAGAGAGCAATATGGTTGTACCACACAGAGAGAAAGTGACTGATACAGTGGTGCAGGAGAGAGAAGTGAGAAAGCTATACTGAGATCAGACAGTGAGTGATGCATCCATACTAGAGAGAACAAGAGAGATACAGCTGTTGCAGGGAGATAAAGAAGTGGTACCAGAGCAAGGGGGCGGGGTAGAGAGAGACAGAGAAGTGACAGAATTGCACCAGAGGTTGAGTGATAAAATAGTGGCTGGAATAAAGCACAATACAGTGGACAACAGTTAACAGGGGAAATCTGCAACTCAGTTATCTCAAAGGGGTGAGCTTGTTTAATTGAAGTTCCGACTGTGCCTGTGCTGATTGTTAGTGCTGCTAGTGTTTCATCCCATGATTAGTCACAGCCTGGAGAAAGACAATTTCCCAAAAAGAATCATACAGCCAGTATAAAGGCATTACTCCATTATAATCAGGTTTCTGAATATTTCTGGGTTTCACTGAGGAGTCAAGTGGCCTACCCTGCTCCTACTTCGTAAGTTCTTATGTGTCAGAATTCTTGCTTGGATATGGCGGATGGTCATTTTCCAGCACAACAAGGAGATGCACCTGCCACAGGAGATATGTTCCAAGGAAAAAACTGGAAAACCCATAACGATATAGATAGTATAGTGAAGGCATACTGTTTGTACTGAACCAGTACTCATAAAAGTACGACCAGTTCTGAGGAAGAGTCACTGTATCCAAAATGTTAACTCTGATTACTCTCCGCACATGCTGCCAGATGTGCTGAGCTTCTCTGGCAATTTTTGTTTTTGTTGCTTATAAAGGTAAACCTGCTGGCTCAGAAACATGAAAAACCCCTGCCTCCCTATAAGCTAAAGGACATGGGGAACCGACTGCAAAAGATGGGCATTGGTTTGTATTCATTGGCATTTATTGTTGGATTGATATAAATTTCTAATGTATGAATATCCTTTTTATGGACAGGGTAACTAAGATTGTACACCTTGCATCAGAATTATCTTTACCAGTGAGAAGGGTTCACATATTCAAGAAGTTTTTTAATGGCACTTCCTAATTCTTTTTAGGAGAGATAGTGGGAATAAAACCATAGGTGATTAACATATGGTCATGTGGAAGACCATCATGGAATCCATATATGGACCATCAATAAAATGAGACAAGTTTTTTTTTCTCCCTTTGTACTTACTTATATACTTTGTGCTCTCCCTCCCATTCTCTACTTTCTTGAACATGGCAACTCTCACTAATAGATACTTTCAAAGATACCAAATTGTCCAATCAAATATCAGGCCAGACAATAAATGTTTGTCCCTATTTGACTCTCAGAATGAATCCTGATCTTGTCCTTGCTGTTACAGTAATCAGGAGCAAGAACCCTGGGAAAGGCCAAATGGAGCAACGTTACCAAACACATACACAAAATGCTGAAAGAGCCAAATGCGTCTTGCAGCATCTGTGGAGGGAGAAACAAAGTTAACGTTTCCAGTCCGATATGACTATTCAACTGGACTTGAAACATTAACTCAGCTTCTTTCTCCACAGATGCTGCCAGACCTGTTGAGTTTCTCCAGCATTTTCTGTTTGTTTCAGATTTCCATCTTCCACAGTATTTTGCTTGTATTGGAGCATCCTTATTGCTGCTGAGCTGAGATACATTATTGAGAGGAGCCTTAATTAATAATATCCACCTGAAAATTTAAAAATTCCATTCCAACTTTGGCTTTGCTGTCAACTCTGCTGAGAGTTATTCCTCACTCTCAATGAAAGCACAGGGAACAATATTAAACCTTTTGTGAGTACGTCTCTCAGCCAAAACCTCAACGTTCATGAAATATTGACGATCTGATTAAAAATCGTAACCCTTACAAAATTGATCTACCTTGCTTGCATGAAGTAAACCTCTTTGTGTAGCATTTCCACAACAGGCTTC